CCCGGCCGGCCCGGCGCGAGTCCCTGCCCGGGACCCTGGCTCGGCCGGCAGGTTGGAGGAGGCCGGACAGCCCGGCGGCGGCGGCTCGTCTGGAGGTGAGCGGGGCGCAGGGACGGAGCAGAGGCGGGGGCAAGTCGTCCCGGGCGGCCCGCAGCAGGGCGCGGGACACGAGCCGAGGTTCGGGGCCGCAAAGGGAAGGAGGGCTCGGCGCGGGTGCAATTTTTTTTTTCTGCATCCAATCTCCTGGCCTTGGCCTTCTCACTGCTTTCTCAGAGCGCCCCTTGGCCTTCTGTGGAAGTGTGCCCTCTGCCTCCTGCCCACAGCCTCGGGACGGCTGGGGTGGCCCACTTTCTTAGCGCGGACTGTGGCTGGCATGAAGACTGAGCGTGTTCTGCATCGAGTCGGAGACCAGCCCGCACACACCCTCCCTGGCTGTCAGGCGTTCTCACCACCAGGCAACCCTGCCTTCACCTTACCCTTTTGCAGGGCCCTTCTCCTGATTCTTGAGAATGTAGCAAGGTTTCCCTGCTCGGGCTGGGGGTGGGGTCAGAGAGGTCACTCTGGAAGCCTCCCCAGCTAGGAAGTGTGAGCAATAAAATGAAGAGGCTGGTCAGGAAGTAGAAGAGAAAATTCTTAGATATCCTGTGGAAAAAGAGGAATAGTATCTACCGATTGATGGGGTTAGGGAGGGAGGCTTGGAGAGATAGGAGACAGAAGTAAAACTGAGATTTGAAGGTAGGGAAAACCTAGATACAAAGGAAAGGGAGGTGGTAGGGCAGGAAGGTCCTGTGAACCCTAAGCAGATGGCAAATGCCAAAAGAGTGCAATCGTTTGGGGGAGATAGCAGGCGTCCTAAAAAAGAGACAACCAGTTCCTCTATCTCTCAACTTACCTCAAAATAGAATTGTACAATTTCACTTAAAGGCAGAGTATTCCATATATCTATTAAAATCAACAAAGCACTTTTTTTTTTAAAAAAAAGACTACTTTCTCAGCATTTCAAGACCACCTTAGCATATTGATGATAGCACATTCTAGCAGTCAGGAGAAGGGCAGATAGTCTTGGTTCTGGAAGAAAAGTCAAGTACCAAAATATGCTTAGAAGGCCGGCCCGTGGCTCACTTGGTAGAGTGCGGTGCTGATAACACCAAGGCCACGGGTTCGGATCCTATATAGGGATGGCCGGTTTGCTCACTGGCTGAGCGTGGTGCTGACAACACCAAGCCAAGGGTTGAGATCCCCTTACCGGTCATCTTTAAAAAAAAAAAAAAAAAGAAAGAAAGTTAAAGTATGTGTAAGTACATGACAAGTTCTAAAATATCACTATATAAATATTTTGCAAATTGTGAAAGAAAATATACATTTTTTAAATTAATACAAGGATTGGGCCGGCCCGTGGCTCACTCGGTAGAGTGCGGTGCTGATAAATTAATACAAGGATAATAGCCTGGAAATGAATGGCAACCCCTAGAGTTGTGTGGTGCACACTGTGCACTGTCACCTCTCCCAGGGTGATGGAGACGCAAAGGATACTCAAAGCCCATTTGTCCAGAGCAGTGAGAGGCCCAGAAGGGGTTAATTCCAGGCAAATCTTTCAAGAGAGAAGAATTCCTAGGAAATAACCCCGAAGAGGTTTTCTCTCAGTTTAACACGGGTGGTTACAAAAAGAGCAATGAGATGATTGTGGTACTTTCCCATCATAAGGTTTAGCTGCACCAAGGACATCTGCCCTCAGAGCGAGCGTTTTACTGTTACAGTTTTTTTTTGTTTGTTTGTTTGTTTTTTTAATCTACAGCGGAGACTTTAGTCCTGGGAAAGTTTTCTGTTTTTCCCAAGCTTAGCATTTCTATGTGCAATTCTAAAGTTAGGCTATACCTTAAACTGCAGGGCTGTGGCCCCACCAAGCCACAGCCAGACCCTGTGAAATACATTTTATTAATGTTGGCATCCTCCACACTGCACAACCTTTCTGTGTGCCTTGAATAGAGAAATTTTCCTTTTGTGTAAGGTTTTGTGAACTGGGAGATGATTTCTCCAGCGGTGTGACAATAGTGCAAGTACTGTCTATCTCCTCTGATTCTATGGGCATGATCCTATCTGTTATTTACAAAGTAAGATGACTTAAAAATATAAAGGCTTTACGGGCCGGCCCGGTGGCGCACTGCTACAGTGCGTCGCTTGAGAGCGTGGCAGCGCTCCCGCCCGAGGGTTCGGATCCCACATACAGACCGGTTCCCGCTCACTGGCTGAGCGAGGTGCGGACGCAACACCGAGGGTTGCGATCCCGTTGCCGGTCCCGGTCCGGTGCGGGGGCGACACTGAGGGTTGCGATCCGTTGCCGGACACGAAAAAAAAAAAAAAGACAAAAAAAAAATATATATATATAAAGGCTTTATCCTGTAATGGATTATAGGATCAAAGTTTTGTCAGAACTCGTAATTACCATATGTCCTCCACTCCTGTCCCTACAGTCATTGCAAGTGATCTATCTGTATCGTTGTAGGCAATAATAGAGATTTCCACGTTTTTGTAGCTGTTCCACTTGTTTCTGTAGCCAAACATTCTTAAGCCTCCAGAAGAGACCTTTGGCAGTCTCCAACCCAGTCCCACTTTTCCCTTTAAGTTGCTTCTGTTTGCTGCAGTCAGTTTCCTTTAGTCAATACAGCTCATATTCTTATTGTCTTAGGTCTTTACAAAGGCCCAGGGAGCATTCACTTGGGCCTTTGGGCTCATGCTCCTGGTCATATGAAAAAGACTACCTTTTTCTAAAAGAACCCCTTCTCAGCCTAACACATCTCTGACAGCTGCTGTTCTTTGCACTTTCCAGGGTACATGCTTGTGATTCTCAATGGAGAGTGAAAGCACAGATTCATAATGAAAACGAGCCCCCGTCGGCCACTGATTCTCAAAAGACGGAGGCTGCCCCTTCCTGTTCAAAATGCCCCAGGTGAAACATCAGAGGAAGAACGTAAGAGACCCCAGCAAGAGTCTAGTCAAGGACAGGCCTCCAAGGAAGTGGCAGAGTCCAAGTCTTGCAAGTTTCCAGCAGGGATCAAGATTATTAACCACCCTACCATGCCCAACACCCAAGTAGTGGCTATCCCCAACAATGCCAATATCCAGAGCATCATCACAGCTTTGACTGCCAAAGGAAAGGAGAGTGGCAGCAGCGGGCCAAACAAATTCATTCTCATCAGCTGTGGGGGAGCCCCAACTCACCCTCCAGGACCCCATCCTCAAGACCAAACCAGCAATGATTCCAAGAGGACAGAAGTGATCCCCGAGACGCTGGGACCAAAACCTGCAGCTAAGGACGCGAATCTTCCTAGAACAACTGGAGCCATTCCCGGGAAGAGACAGGAGAGCTGTGGTAAGTGGTCTACAAGGCAAAGGGGTGAGGAGCCCAGCCTTTCCTTTCTGGTGGCAAGATCTGCAGTCAGTCATGCTGATGCTTGCAACAGACAGGCATCTAGCATCACCCAAGGGAAAGCCTCGTCTTTCTTCTTCCTGAAACCTTGACCCAGATCCTTTGGGCATTGTTGAAAGGGCAATAATAATAATTTAGCATTTCTATTGCCTTCTTTACATTGGAAAAGGTCTTGTTTATTGTTTCTGTTTATCCTTTCCATTGACCCGATAAGGAAGTAAGAATCTTTCTCTGTCTTAATAAAGGAGAAATCTGAAGCATGAAGAGGAAAAGTGAGGGCTGGCCCGTAGCCCACTTGGGAGAGTTTGGTGCTGATAACACCAAGGACACGGGTTCAGATCCCATATAGGGATGGCCGGTTAGCTCACTGGGTGAGCGCGGTGCTGACAACACCAAGTCAAGGGTTAAGATCCCCTTACTGGTCATCTTTTAAAAAAAAAAGAGGAAAAGTGACCTTTTTGTGCAGATACTCAATAACTCTTTTGTAAGATTGCCTTGACTGATCTCTAAGGTTCAGTGTGGCTGAGATTGAAATGCAATTTGAACTATGCTCCTAAATGTCTCCTGAAATCCATGATGTGGCAGAATAAGTTGGAGCTACAATAGATTCTGCATGTATTCCCTGTCCCTAAGGGTAGAGGTTTTGGAGAGATGATCCCTAACCACCAATTTTGATGGGCCTACTGGGCATCTAACCAGACAACTAAGTGGGGTCTTGGATTGTTATCCCTCTAGCTGGTGGTGAGGCAGCAGGCTGCACTCTTGACAACAGCTTAACCAATATCCAGTGGCTTGGAAAGATGAGTTCTGATGGACTGGGCTCCTGCAGCATCAAGCAAGAGAAGGAGGAAAAAGAAAATCGTCACCTGGAGCAGAGTCAGGTTAAGGTAAACTGTTCTGTTGCTCACTTGGGAAGTCAGAGCCCATGCAGGGAATTTCTAAGAAGGGAAATGGATTGAGTGGCCCACTGGAGCAGAATTTCCAAGTTCCGGCATTAGCACTCCACTTAGTGCTATTCTGTATGACTTTTGACCTACTTTTCTGCCTGGGATCTTTCTTTCCCCCGTCTGTGGAATTTTCTAAGGACAAATTCCCTTTGCTCACTCTTATTTCCATCAGAACTTGGTTTAGTGTTCTGCTCTCAGTAAGTACTTAGTAGGTATTCAGGAAATAATTAAGAGGTCTTAGTTTGGGAAGCCACTTGAACTTTAAAGAGGCATCCCAAAAGTATGAATTAAATATAGCATCTTTAACAAGATAGTTTTATTAGAAAATATAATATTAATAGCAAATAAATTGAGTTAGATATGAATTTTAAATACTTCCCCACCAATCAAAATTGATCTGACCCAATTGAGTACTCTGATTTTTTTTTTACGCAGTTGCCAATATCAATATCTAGCTTCTGTTGTATATACCCTTTAATCATTCATTCAACAACTTTCAAAAGTGAAATTTTATATGGATGTGTACATAAGTATCACTTGAGCTGTATGCTTAAAATCTGTGCACTTTATAAAGTTATATCTCAAGTTTTTTTTTTTTTTGTCTTTTTCCGTGTCCGGCAACGGATCGCAACCCTCAGTGTTGCCCCCGTACCGGACCGGGGACCGGCAACGGGATTGCAACACTCGGCGTTGCTCCCGCGCCTCGCTCAGCCAGTGAGCGGGAACCGGTCTGTATGTGGGATCCGAACCCTCGGGCGGGAGCGCCACCGCGCTTCCCAAGCGGTGCACTATCCAGTGCGCCACCGGGCCGGCCCTATCTCAAGTTTTAAAAACACAACTGATGGGATCTTTTGCTAAGACTTAGCCAAATGTGCGTTTTGCAGACATTTGTCCCATGCTCTTGGGAATGTTTCTCTCATACAAACATTTTCTATTGAAATGAGATGGGTTTATTCACATCACATCCGGAGTAGAGATGGGACTAAGACCTCTCTTGACCTGCAAGTCCAAAAAATGGGCATGGTGTTAGTATAAAATGAGTGCTTTGAGAATCATAGGATACACCCAAACTCTCCTGAGTAAGTTTCAACTAGAAGAGACTGGACTTTCTCTTATTATTGGACAATGTTTTCAACAAAATGAATGATGACTGAGAAGCAATTCCTTATTGGCTAGGGTGTAGACGAGATCATCTCCAAGATCCTTCCCAATCCTAAAGTTTTATTCTATGGAATAGTGATCTCAGATGAGTTTGTTTCTAGTACAATTTTATGGGATAAAGGTTTCTCCAGGGGGTGTTTGTCAAGGGGCCAGGTGGGGGTGGTTCCTGTGAACTCTTCTATGTCATTCTCTTATCTCTTTCCCTTTGGCTTCTCAGGTTGAGGAGCCCTCAGGAGCATCAACATCCTGGCAGGACTCTGTATCTGAGCGGCCGCCCTACTCTTATATGGCCATGATACAATTTGCCATCAACAGCACTGAGAGGAAGCGCATGACCTTGAAAGACATCTATACTTGGATCGAGGACCACTTCCCCTATTTCAAGCACATTGCCAAGCCAGGCTGGAAGGTAGTATGTCCCATAACAGCCAAAGTCGAGGTCACTCTGGCCTGATGGTTTGTCTCTGGTGCTGTGCTGCAGTGTTTTCTAGTGCTCTAGAGCAGCACTTAAGTGCAAAGGATGCTAGAACTGTAAACAAACTTATCTTTTGTATTGTGACTCGCTCCTACTGAATCTAGGCAAACTCATTGATGAGAGCTCTGTAACCACTTTGTCTGTTACTACCTAAGGTTTATGGAGAGTCTTCAGTGTAGCACCAAGCCCACCTTTGTGCTACACTGAACAGCAGTCCTAGGTACCAGCAACTGGAGTGACTGAGTACTTTTATGAAAAGATCTTAATGGAAAAGAAAAAAAAAAAAACGCAATCTGTGAGCCTCATTTTTATCCAAGATTCAACTCCAAAAATGTCACATATCATTTCTAGGGGACAGGGATTTTCTCTTCATTTTATTCATGGGAACACTGAGTTGCCTTGGAGTCTATATAGCTCACACTGTTGGTCATTGTCAGAGCCACAAATCAGGTCTTCTGACAGGGGCTCGATGCCAAGCCAGGGGTGTTTTGTTTTATTTTCCCCAAAGTAGATCTCTTAACTTTACACCCTTATGTCAACTTAACTTCCGAGATTCTTTTTTTTTTTTTTTTTGTCTTTTTTCCGTGTCCGGCAACGGATCGCAACCCTCAGTGTTGCCCCCGTACCGGACCGGGGACCGGCAACGGGATCGCAAGCCTCGGTGTTGCTCCCGCGCCTCGCTCAGCCAGTGAGCGGGAGCCGGTCTGTATGTGGGATCCGAACCCTCGGACGGGAGCGCCGCCGCGCTTCCCAAGCGGCGCACCATCCAGTGCGCCACCAGGCCGGCCCAACTTCCGAGATTCTTAATTTCTCTCATCCGCCTACTTTCCCAATGATTACTGCTTGACAGTCTCTCTCCACTTTCCTAGCCTCTGACAGCTATCCAGGTCTTTTCTTTATCACTAGCCTAAAGAGTGGCACCAGTCAGTCTTTATCTCCTTGGAGTGGATGGGTTTATGGCTGAGGGTAACAGCTCTGCAGTGTGGTATGTCAGGAAGAGAGCTGCCAAGAGACGAATTTACAAGGACACAGGACAAAGCCTGTGCCGAGCACAGTGGGAGAGGCCTGAGTCTGATTTATTTCACTATTCTTTTCTTCTTCTCTTTTTTTTGGCAGCTGGCTGGTACAGGGATTGAATCCTTGTTAGTTTCAAAGGTGATATTGTGAAGCTAAAGTAGCTTGTAAGTGGTCATCTTTCTCTTCTTTCAGAATTCCATTCGCCATAACCTTTCTCTCCATGACATGTTTGTTCGGGAAACGTCTGCCAATGGCAAGGTCTCCTTTTGGACCATTCACCCCAGTGCCAATCGCTACTTGACGTTGGACCAGGTGTTTAAGGTGAGTGTCCTGAATCCATCTAAAGAGGGCCAGAGCTGGAGGTAGTAATAGCTATGTTAAAAGGAAACAATCTCTTGTGATGCTCTTATTTGATCAGGGGAGAGTTAGAAGCCAGCCAATTAGTGACCTGCATAAAAGCCGCTGAATTAAGTACAGTTGATAAATACCAAATGACACACTTTTGTGCTAGACCATGACACGGAAAGGACTGTTCTGATCCATAATAGACAACTTCCCAGGGCAGTGTTTCCCTAACTTCCCTGGGGATAAGAATTGCCTGAGACTCTTGTTAAAATGCAGCTTTCCAGGCCTCTTTCTTGGGGTTCCTAATTCAGTGGTTCTGGGATGGGCCCAGGAACTTATATTTTTAACAAGTATCTCAGGTGATTCTTACAGAGAGAGTCTGGGAAACCTTGCTCTAATAAAGCCCTTCTTTGAGGCTGGAGACCAGAAACTGAGCCACCAGAACATCTTTTCAGGGAGAAGCTATTGTTTTGGGATTTCAGAGTGCCCATCAGGCTGCTGGTAGCCATCACCATACTCCTGGGAGGGACAGTTGTCCAGGGTGTTCCTCGGCCTCAGTTGGGAATAGGCGTTCTTCCGAGTCTGGTCAGGTTGATCGCCGTGGTGGTAACTGCATTTAATTTCTCTCCCACAATGCCTGGCCACCACCAGCCACTGGACCCAGGGTCTCCACAGTCACCTGAGCACTTGGAATCAGTAAGATTCTTTCCCTCTGGCTCGGGGCTTAGCCTTGTTTTCCTTTCACTGCTCAGCATGGCTTTAGTGGACAGAGACAAGATATGATGCGGGGAAGGGAGCCCACAGCTATGTGACCCCAGCCCTAAACACAGAGCACCCTGAGGCTCCTGGGAGTGAGGGACATGAGGCTGGTGGCAGTGCCCCTTGTCCTTCCCTCCCACAGGCATCACAGTGCGCTAGGCAGAGAAGGCACGACACCGGCCTCGCAGGTGGCAGTTTGTTCTCACTCTTCTAGCCGGCTTTTCTCTGACACTCATGTGGCCACATGCTTTCGCATCCCCTGGGGTTGGTAGGACACATGGAGGAGGCGGTGGGACTGTCCTGCCACTGTGCATCTGTATGCTGCCCACCCTTCCCACTGACCAAGGCTTTGGAGGGTGTGCTTGCCTGCATCCGTCCCCTCACATGGGCTCTTCCTCTCTGGGCTGTCAGTAAGCTTACGTGCACAGTAACAGAGCAGCTGGCGGGGTTTTGCCTCTCCCTTCACCTTACTAACTCGGGTTTCTTTCTCTCCTCATCTGCCACAAGCAGCAGCAGAAACGACCCAATCCTGAGCTCCGCCGGAATGTGACCATCAAAACTGAACTCCCACTGGGCGCACGTTAGTATGGGAGAGCTGGCCTCAGGCCTAGTCCTTCTTCTGGGGGCGTAGCTGCGGGGAATCAGACCCAGGGATTCTGCTCCCAGCTCAAAGGGATGTGAGCCCAGAGAAGGAGAGCGAAGCTCCTGGGGCTGAGAAGGGGTGTATCCCTGCTCCCCCTCCTCCTGATCTCCCGTTTCCCCCTAGGGCGGAAGATGAAACCACTGCTGCCACGGGTCAGCTCATACCTGGTGCCCATCCGGTTCCCGATGAACCAGCCACTGGTGTTGCAGCCCTCAGTGAAGGTGCCATTGCCACTGGCAGCCTCGCTCATGAGCTCAGAGCTCGCCCGCCACAGCAAGCGAGTCCGCATCGCCCCCAAGGTGAGTGTGCTCTATTTTTCCCTGAAGAGAGATTCTAATCAATTTGAAGTATTGGACCTACAGCTTGCAAAGCCCTTTGCTAAGTGTTCCTTGAGAAGTGTATAAATCTAGTGGGATAGACAGAGCATAGAAACACAGGAAAATTTAATAGCATTATTAAGAGCTTAAAAGGAATTTGGATCACAATGTAAGTGATGTCAGAAGGCCCATGCATACCTGATGAGTTTATAAGAATTCACACAAGAGTGATTATGAGAGATTGGCTGGGACGGTCAAGGAAGAGTTCAAAAGTAAGGTAGTTCTTAGGAAGAAGTGGATTTTGGTGAGCACAGGTATGGAGACAGTATTCTTGGGCAGTGCCGCGGAGGCAGGAAATGCCAGTTTGTCCCTACTACTAGGAGAGCGGATGGGTCAGGCTAGCTCAGGGCTTCTCAGCCTCAGTCCTACTGACATTTAGGGTCAGATACTTCTTTGTTGGTGGAGGGGTGCTGTCCTGTCCATTGAAGGATGTTTAGGAGCATCCCTTGTCTTCCCCACTAGATGTCAGTAGCACTCCACAGTTGTTTTTTTTTTTTTTTTAATCCTTTTTGTCTTTTTTCGTGAACGGCAACGGATCACAACCCTCAGTGTCGCGCCCATACCGGACCGGGACTGGCCACGGGATCGCAACCCTCGGTGTTGCTCCCGCCCCTCGCTCAGCCAGTGAGCGGCCGGTCTGCATGTGGGATTCGAACCCTCGGGCGGGAGCGCCGCCACACTTCCCAAGCGGCGCACTATAGCAGTGCGCCACCGGGCCGGCCCAGCACTCCACAGTTGTGACAATTAAAGTGTCTCCAGACATTGCCAAATGTCCCCGGGGTGGGGGATCACCCAATTGAGCGTCACTGGTGTAGCTTGAAGAGAAGGTGAGAAGGACAAGTTAAGACCATAAGGTTTCATGAGTAGGGGCTGACCTGTAGCCAGAGAAAAAGTCTTCCCCTACCCTTTCATGGGATGGAAAAGCATGGCCTAGGGCCGGCCCAGTGGTGCACTGGATAGTGCGCCGCTTGGGAAGCATGGCGGCGCTCCCACCCGAGGGTTCGGATCCCACATCCAGACCGGTTCCCTCTCTCTGGCTGAGCGAGGCGTGGGAGCAATGCCAAGGGTTGCGATCCCGTTGCCGGTACCCGGTCCGGTACGGGGGCAACACTGAGGGTTGCGATCCATTGCCGGACACGGAAAAAAAAAGACAAAAAGACAAAAAAAAAAAAGAAAAGCATGACCTCTGGACATGTTTAGACAAACTTGCATTTGCTTTTATTTTTATTTATTTTTATTTTTTTTAAAAGATGACTGGTAAGGGGATCTTAACCCTTGACTTGGTGTTGTCAGCACCACGCTCTCCGAAGTGAGAGAACCGGCCATCCCTATATAGGGATCTGAATCCTTGGCCTTGGTGTTATCAGCACCGCACTCTCCCGAGTGAGCCATGGGACGGCCCTTGCTTTTATTTTTTTAATTTAAAAACTGTTTTAAAAATATATTACACATAAAATTATACATGCTATATGTAGTTTTACATGAATGCATCAATGTCATTGTAGCATGTGTACTGTTTTGGTTTTTTTTTTAAAGATGACCGGTAAGGGGACCTTAACCCTTGACTTGGTGTTGTCAACACCACGCTCTCCCAAGTGAGCGAACCGGTCATCCCTGTATGGGATCCGAACCCGTGGCCTTGGTGTTATTAGCACCACACTCTCCCGAGTGAGCCATGGGCCAGCCCTCTACTGTTTTGGTTTTAACGCAGTCTTTTTTTTAACGCCTTCTTCGTTTTGGCTCCCCTCCCTCTCCCGATCTCACCTACATCACCCCCGCTCCCAAGGTGACACATGTTGACGATGTAGTATGCTTTCTTCAATATTTTATCCATGCTTTTGGTACAATATACATGTCAACAGCCATTTTATACATACAGCACAGAGAACATGGAAAATGTGATCAAATTACACACACATTTGTACAGTCTGTCTTATTCTAACTTGAAGACACTTCATGGAAGTTTTTCAAAGTCCCTTGGCATAGTTCTCACTCATGGTTTTTTCGGTTTTCTTTTGGCGGCTGGCCAGTATGGGGATCTGAACCGTGTCCTTGGTGTTATAACACCATACTCTGGCCAACTGAGCTAACCAGCCAGCTCCGATTCATTGTTTTTTAATGGTCACATAATATTCCATGGTGTGCTTATACCATAAATTTTTCAACCATTCCACTTTGATGGCACATTTTGTTTCTAGTTTTTTGCCCTATGGACAACACTGCAAATTTCTTTCTTACTAGTTCTTTATTTCTGTGGGATAGAGTCCCAGTCATCAGACTAACGAGTGAAAAGGAATATTAAATTTCGCTAAATATTGCTAGATTGCTTTCCAAAATTGTGATAATTCACATTTTAACCAGCAGTATATGACAAGATCTGTATCTTTGCCAGCAATAGGTATTATTAGTCTTTTTAATATTTGCCAATATAATGTGTATAAACGTTATCTCATTGTTTAGTGGTACCTTTCTTTGTTTATCAATAAATCTGAGCACCTTCTCACTCTGCTTGGTCACTTGGAATTGTCCTCTGTGAATTGCTTATTTACGGACATTGCCTACTTTTCTATTAGGTTTTGTTATTAATTTGTGAGGGCTGTTTGTTAAAATATTAACCTATCTTTCATGCTGAAGAGATTTTTCTACTTCTATTGATTGTTTGTTTCTTGACTTTGTTTATGGTATCTCTTGCCACAGTAAAATTTTAAAATTTTATATAGTCAAATATTGTTTCTCTTCTCTTTTACCGCTCTGGGTTTCCAGTCTTGGTTAAGAAGGTCATCCCCACCCTCAGATTGTACGTGTAGTCTCCTAGATTCTCTTTCAGGATTTGTATGGTTTTCAATTTCTATGTTTAACTCTTCGTATATGGAGTCAGATAGGTGTCCAATTTTATATTCTCTCAGATGGATGCTAATTATGCCAGCACCATATTAAATACTCATCTTTTACCCTGGGAATAGAACTACCTCCTCATCATATGTCATATTCTCATATTTATTTATTTATTTATTTGTGACCGGTAAGGGGATCGGAATCCTTGGCTTGGTGTCGCCCGCACCACGCTCAGCCAGTGAGCGCACCGGCCATCCCTATATAGGATCCGAACCTGCAGCCTCGGCGCTCCCAGCGCTGCACTCTCCTGAGTGAGCCAAGGGTTCGGCCCATATTCTCATATTTAATAGTTTTTAAGACGTTTAGAAGATAGAGGGCCGGCCCGTGGCTCACTTGGGAGAGTGCGGTGCTAATAACACCAAGGCCATGGGTTCAGATCCTATATAGGGATGGCCGGTTTGCTCACTGGCTGAGCGTGGTGCTGACAACACCAAGCCAAGGGTTAAGATCCCCTTACCGGTCATCTTTTAAAAAAAAAAAAAAAGACAGAAAGAGGGTCTGTACCAGTATGTCACTTATCATAGTCGTGATTTTCTGTCCTACCTGGTGACAGTGGGTTGAATCGGAAGGCCTCAAGAGCTCCCTTGCACCTTATCTCTGCTTCCCTTTCAGGTACAGCTAGCCGATGAGGGGATTGCCCCTCTCCCTACTGCAGGACCAGTGAAAGAGGAGAAACTCTGTCTTGGAGAAGGGCTTGCTTCTTTGCTTCCAGTTCAGTGCATCAAGGAAGAAGAAATCCAGCCTGGGGAAGAAATGCCACACCTAGCAAGACCCATCAAAGTGGAGAGCCCTCCTTTAGAAGAGTGGCCCTCCCCATCCCTGTCTTTCAAAGAGCAATCCTCCCACTCCTGGGAGGATTCGTCCCACTCTCCTACCCCAAGGCCCAAGAAGTCCTGCAGTGGGCTCAAGTCCCCAGCCCGGTGTGTCTCTGAAATGCTCATGATTAAACGAAGGGAGAGGAGGGAGCTGAGCCGTTCTCGAAGAAAACAGCATCTACTGCCTCCCTGTTTGGATGAGCCTGAGCTGCTCTTCTCGGAGGGTCCTGGTACTTCCCGACCATCCACAGAACTCCCTTTCCTGGCAGACTCCTCTGAGCCTGCCTCCCAGCTTGGCTACTCCCAGGATGAGGGAGGACCTTTCAAGACACCCATTAAGGAGATGCTGCCCATCTCTTCAACCCCGAGCAAATCTGTCCTCCCCAGAACCCCTGAATCCTGGAGTCTCACACCCCCAGCCAAAGCGGCAGGGCTAGATTTCAGCCCAGTGCAAACCCCCCAGGGTGCCCTTGGCCCCCTGCCTGACTCCTTGGGGCTGATGGATCTCAGCACCACCCCACTGAAAAATATTCCCCTCTTTGACTCACCCCGAGAGCTCCTCAATTCAGAACCCTTTGACCTTGCCTCTGAACCCTTTAGTAGCTCTTCCCCGTCAAATATGGAGGTCCCCAAGCCAGGCTCTCTGGAGCCACAGGTTCCCAGCCTTTCAGCCAATCGTTCTCTGACAGAAGGCCTGGTTCTGGACACAATGAATGATAGCCTCAGCAAGATCCTCCTGGACATCAGCTTCCCTGGCCTAGAGGAGGACTTGTTAGGCCCTGACAACATCAACTGGTCTCAGTTCATTCCCGAGCTACGGTAGAAACCTGCCCTTGCCCTTGCCTCTCAAGCCGTCCACCATTCTGGGCACTTGTGGCTGGGCAGTCCCAGGCTCAGTGCACCCCAAGCCTTCCGACTGAGGACAGCGGGCAGCGACTGTTCCACTCCCATGCCAAGGCAGCAGTCACACCTTAGCCAAGAGAATCCAATTCTTCTCCCTGCCAGCAGCTGGTAGGTGGGAAAAGCAAAAGCAATGGTCAAAGGAGATTAGCAGCTCCCCAAACTGTTTCCAGTCTGTGCCCTGCAGTCTCTCACTTTCCCTGCTCCTTGCAGGACAGCCTTGTAAATAGTGCAAATTCTGCAAATTCTCCTCTAATAATAAATGTAAGCTAATTTGCCTAGATCGTTATCTAGAGACTGCCAGGAGGTAAGTAGGATGACAAGGGGTTTCAGATTGCTTTTCTTCCTTGCTTTTAGTTCCTAGAAAAGGGAGGACCTGAAGCACACAGTTTCTTCCAGGCCCAAGGTTCCTGGCTCAAGGGTTCTTTACCCCAGTTACCAAGACAAGTGGATCTACTTGCCGGGGTCCCTCTCACTGCCCCTCCCTCCCACCTCCCCATGTTTCCAAGTCAGCTTTGCTGCAAAAAGAAATCCTGGGTTAAAAGGTCTCTTGTATTAGGTTAAGAGTTGAATTTGGGGTGGGGGGATGGATGCACCTGAAGCAAAGAGTGTGAGCACCCAGATGTGCCCCCATTAGATGTTTCTCTGATAATGTCCTTAATCATGCCAGGGAGACGAGCACCGATGAGAACTCGGGCAGAGGCTTGAGAAGGCTGAAAGGGCCCCTGACCTGCCTGCTTCCTTAGCTTGCACCTCAGCTCTGCAGAGAGCCACCCTGGGCCCCAGCTGACCACGTGTACGTGAGCCAGCTCAAGAACACTACTGTAACTACCTGCTCAATAAAATCCAGGGTGGAAATGCTGGTCTCTGGTCTGCTGGTGTCTGGTCCCTAAGGTATGAGGAGGGGTTGGACAAGAAAGGGACTGATGGTGGAGACAGTGGTAATGGGGAGGGGGCAAGTCTGAAGCAGCAATTGAAGGACAGTGCAAAGGGCTTTAGCATGAAACACCTCCCTCCCGCACCATGCCCAGGCGACACACACCTGTCTAGCATGGACATTGCTGGTTTTCCCAGTGCTGGTGCTGCACAGCCAGCCTCTTTTCCCTGTTGCCTTGGACCTTGCTCTTTGAGACCTCTGGACCTACTGGATAACTTAGGCCTTTGGGGTCTCCTCCATAAAGGAAAAGGCTAGGAGGGGCAGGCTCCCCAGCACATTAGGCCCAGTTCCAGATGGTCATTGCCACCTCCTCCCCAATCCCGAGCCCTGGGAGCCAGCCTTTCCTGCTTTTCTCCTGGAGCCTCCCTGGTCAAGGCCCTCCGCAGAAGCAGCTCCTGTTACCATCTTCTGCCGTCAGAACTTAAAGTTCTATCCCGTCTCTGTATCACCTGAAAGGCAGCCAGGGGCCAAGGGACTACAGAGCCTCTAGCGACAGGTAAGGGCCTCTTCCCTGTGTCACCACTCAGGAAGCATTGTCATAGCAACCCCAGAGCAAACAATGGTGCCAGAAAGGGCTCCTGCACAGAACCACTCCTCCTGCCCCGAGGCCCAGAAGAAGAATGGCCAGTAACCCTCAAAGATTGCGCAGAGGGCCGAATAACCCATCTCATGTCAGAGAACGTTTCCTGCAGGTAGGGCGGGCCCATCTTCACAGCCGGCTCTTTTTGCACCCCACTGTGCCAGTGGCTGTCCCCGCCTGGTCCCCGTGCTTTCTCCTGGGCAGCAGACCTGGCTCGTAAGCTCTCTGCTGTCTTCCCCTCTTAGTCCTAGGATACTGTGAGCCAACCAGCCAGGCCACAGGCCATTTCACACAGCATAGAATGCTCGGTAGGTCCCAGCCCTGCCACTAGCTTGCTCAGCACCTTGTGTGTTGCTCTCATTGCGTCTCGTTCTTTATGTCTTTCAGATGGGGACAATGACAATACTTGCTCCTAGGGCTGTAAGGGGTAAACGAGATGTGCACAGGTGCTGAACGCAGTGTCAGCACGCAGTTGCTGCTGTTTACCTCATGGGGGCGGTGCAGGGAAGGGAACGAGCGAGGCTTCAGCCTGCTTTCTGCACTTGCTCGCATCTTAATGAGAAATGAGGGAAGCACCAGTGATTGGTGATGGGGGGGAGACGGGGGATAAGAGATAAGTGGAAAACACCTGGCCCTGCTTTCTGGAGAAGGCCTTTCCTGGAGTGTCACCAGGACAGGAGCAAGTGAGGATGGGCTTCTACACTTGGCTGGGTGTGGGGCATTTCCCCACTTACTCTCCTCAGGCCTGATTTGCCCTCAGGAGCACCACTTCCTGGGCAGGAATGTGGGGACCCCAGAGTGGAGAAAGTGGGTGAAGGCAAGAGTAAAATGGAGGAGAGAGGGTGGAAATCAAAGCCAGAATATGGTCAATGGCAAGAAAATGAAAGAGGAGATGCATGGGAATTATACAGAGAGGCCATTACCTCTGATGGGCAGGACAGGAACGGAGTGTCTTGCTGAGAATCCTGGGCTGGAGGCAGAGATGCAGAAGAGAGAATCCTGAAGTTCCTTAGTGCCACAGGAAGGACAGCAGAATGGCTCAGCCCACCTTCTGGGCCTCTGCCCACACAACCATCCCCAGGACCCCTTTTGTCTCTCTCCCTAGATGGTCCACGCCAGTGAGTTCCTCCCGACCTACCAAACGTGGGCTCAGCGTGAGTTCCTCCTGCCCAGTCAGTCCTGGGAGTTGCCTGGCTTCACCCGGCAAGCCTACCACCGGCTGGCCCTGAAGCTGCCACCCTGTACAGAAGTGAAGTCCAAGATGCGCCACCGGCTGATCCACCCTTGGAAGGATGCAGGCCAGCACACCTGGGGCTTTCACACGTGGCTCGATGTGGGGCGTTTGCCTGCCACCTTCCCCACCCGGCCCGACCAGCCCTACGATAGCAATGTCTGGCGCTGGCTGACCAACACCAATGCCCACAGTTGCTGCCCAGCAGAGCCGCCCATACCCCCGCCCTCCTGGATGGGGCAAAACAGCTTCCTGAACTTCATCCACTGCAGTCCCATCTTCTTGGACGTGAACAGGAAGAACCAGGTGATCTTCAGAACAGCGAAGCAGCTGGAGGAGATGCAGAAGCTCAAGCTGAGGAGTGAGGTGCGGGCACCTCCCCTGGACGCCCACGGCAACATCCTGCCCCCAGCCAACGTCAGGAAGTAAGATGAGCCCCTTCCTCAGGGAGCCCACCCAGCCTGCCTGCCTCAGGTGACCCCTCCCTCTCTCCCTGCCGTCTAATTGGGTACTCTAACCTTGTCACCTCTGGTCACCTAAAAAACCAAACTCTTTTCTGAGTGTAGCCAGAGGACAAAGTGGAGGCACTAATTATTTAACTAAAATGTGGGGGGTTTGGGGGGTTGCACCTAACTCCGCGAGGCCACGTGTGTGAAGTGTCCAATGCATGAGACAGACAGTGGGTACTGTAAGGACCTACTTATTACACCAATTACTAATGGCGAGGGCTGAAATGAAAGCTGGAGTCAGAAGGATTAAAGTCCAGACTGAGGGCTGGCCAGTTAGCCATGGTGCTGATAACACCAAGGTCCAGGGTTTGGATCCCCACACCGGCCAGCTGCCAAAAGAAAAAAAAAATCCAGACTGCATCACTGTGGCGTTACTCTGGCATGTCGCTTAGTTTCTGCAGACTCAGTTCCATCATTGATAATGTGGGGATCACAACTACCTACCTCAATGGGTGAGGATAAAATGGGTTAGTGAATATTTCAAAGAACTGAACAAAAACTAGGTGTTTTTAACCAAAATTCAGAAGAGGAAGGGATTGCTGTGAGCTGGAGTGTCCTCCTCCCCCAGGAAGGCTGCATGAGGAAATCAGGGTTAAGCTGGAAGTGTAGGAAGCCTGCAGAAGGTTACAAAGGAGGGGTGGAGCCTTCCCCGGCAGGGTCCAGTGGCCCGGGCAGAGGCAGGAATGTGAAGAGCTGTTGGAGAACTCGGCAGCTCCTCCCCTCCCTTGCCCATCGTGGGAACTCACAGATATTTCCAAACCATGTCCAGTCTAGGCACTGGGCAGAAGTAACAGGAAAGGCGGGGAGGGAAATAAGACAGAATGTCTTAAATTCCAACCCTAAGGGCATTAACCAAAGCACTGAAGGGCTTCAGAAGGGGCTGTAAAGATTTTTAATCTTTAATTTTAAACCAAAGGTTGGTGATTTCAAGAGATTAGTCAGGACTCGGCTTCTCCCTGCTGTGCTTGCCACACAGGTTGTCGGTTGCTAGTGCATGCTAACGCTGGACACGCAACCGGGACAAGACTCCAAGCACTGCTCAGAAAGATTCGCTGTCAAATGACCGTGCCAGATGCTGTTCTAATCACTTTAGCCGTGTTATTTAACGCCCCAGGACTCTATAGAAACTACTGTTAAGGGCCGGCCCGGCCCGTGGCTCACTTGGGAGAGCATGGTGCTGTTAACACCAAGGCCAAGGGTTCGGATCCCCTTACCAGTCATCTTTAAAAAAAAAGAAAAGTGGGCCGAGCCCGTGGCACACTCAGGAGAGTGCGGCGCTGGGAGCTCCTGCCGCGGGTTCGGATCCTATATAGGGATGGCCAGTGCGCTCACTGGCTGAGCGCAGTGCGGCCGGCCTCAAAAAAGGAATAAAAAAAAAAAAAAGAAAAGTGGGCCGAGCCCGTGGCACACTCAGGAGAGTGCGGCGCTGGGAGCTCCTGCCGCGGGTTCGGATCCTATATAGGGATGGCCAGTGCGCTCACTGGCTGAGCGCAGTGCGGCCGGTCTCAAAAAAGGACTAAAAAAAAAAAAAAAGAAAGAAAGAAACTACTGTTAACTCCATTTTACAGACAGTGCATCTGAGATGGAGAGGTCAAGTATTTTGGGCAAATTCACACAGCCGGTGATGGCAGAGCTGGGATTTGAACCCGGGGAGCTCAGATCCAGAGCTGCTTCCTAACCACTGTACTCCACTTCCCATCTTGTCTGAGGAATCAGACAAGTTCACATGTATTTCTAATATAATGTGATGTTCTACGTAAGCATAAGACACACGTAGCATCGGAAAAATGTAATTATCTATAAACAGTACTTAGCACAGTAAGCACTCAATAAGCGTGTTTGTGATGGCAGAGGAAGCACGGCCTCAGGAGTCCGACAGATCTAGGTCAGGATCTTCCTCATGTATCACAAACTTGCTAGACAACCTCAACTTTCTTAAGTTCTCTGAGCCTCACTTTTCTCAAGTATGTGTTGGAGATAGGCCTGGCACCTTGCAGGGTTGTTGGAGGACTAAGTGGTGCAGTGCTTGGCATGCAGAAGGGGCTCGATAAGTCGGATCATCCTTAGTACGGCACCTCCATGACAGAAGGATTCTCCTCTCGCTTGTTGACTGCTGCAAGCCCAGCCCCGGAGCCAGGACTGAAGGACCAAGTCTCAGACAAAGTTCTGCTGTTCACAGGGGAGGTGTATTTGAGCTGGACCTTGAAGGAGGTTCACCAGGTGGGAACAAGACAGACTGATGAGAGGAAAAGCCCCTCGAATCCCATTATTCCTCTTGAGCAGCTCTGAAAAGGGCTTTAAAGATTATTAGAAATGACTCGGATCAGTCGGCGAGCACTTCAGACGTGTAAGAGATATGAGCTTTATTTTTTTAATGTTTTAATTTTTATTCTTTTTATTTTTTTTATTTATTTTTTTTTTCCCAAACCACAGAGCAAATAGGTTGTCTCTTCTAACTATTCTTTTTTTTTTTTTTTTTTTTTTTTTTTTTTTTTTTTTTTTTTTTTTTTTTTTTTTAAAACAGACCGGGTACCAGCAACGGGATCGCAAGCCTCGGCGTTGCTCCCGCGCCTCGCTCAGCCAGTGAGCGGGAACCGGTCTGTATGTGGGATCCGAACCCTCGGACGGGAGCGCCACCGCGCTTCCCAAGCGGTGCACTATCCAGTGCGCCACCGGGCCGGCCCAATTTTTATTCCTTTTAAAGATGACCGGTAAGGGGATCTTAACCCTTGACTTGGTGTTGTCAGCACCACGCTCACCCAGTGAGCGAACCGGCCATCCCTATATAGGATCCGAACCCGTGGCCTTGGTGTTATCACCACACTCTGCCGAGTGAGCCACGGGCCAGCCCCGAGAGCATTTAAAATGCTCATGATCAATTCGGGGAAAATAGAACATTTACATACAAACCTAGCAGTTCCGAATGCTGGCAGCACACGAGAAAGACCTTGGGCTCTTTAAAATAATTCTGAGGTTTGAATCTCACCCTGGAGATTCTAACTTAAACGTGGGGCTTGGTGTTTTTAAAAGCTCCCCAAGGAGATTCTAACAAGCAGCCAGGCTGAGAACCTCTGAATAAACAAACGACGGCAACCCTGCTGGACCAGGTGCAAAGCATGTTGAACTGTAGAAAATCTGCCACCATTTAACCACGTTTTTTTGGTTTCTGTTTTTGTTTTTAAAGTCAATTTCCTACTGTAGTCCTACAGACCTATAGAAAAGAGGAAGTCATCCACCTGCACCAAGTTCAGTGTCTTCCCACCAACACTGCACTGCTGCATTAGAAGGATGGTTAGAATCTGGATAATGATATTATATGCAATGTCAAAAAAGATGGAAGTGAAACAGAGTAAGGCTAGGCCTGTGAACCAAACTGACTCCATTTTCCCTGCAGAGGACACTTTGTTACTTTTCCACTCCCCAGTCATGAGACCCCTCAGGGCACATGATCATCCCGTGGGCTTCCCTGACAAAACAGACTGAGAGAAGAGAGGAAACAGATATTTACTGAGTTGCAAAACCCCTCCCCAAGGCTTGTTTACTATAATTGTAAAAGTTACAGATTAACTTTAAGACCCCTTGGGAATTCCCACCTGTGCACAAAGCATCTAGGTGACTGCTTCAATGACTCGCCTGGGGTGACAATGATGAACACCACTGCCTACTGAGCATGCACCCATGATGCAACCAGGAAGAACAGAGCGGACCACCTCCAGTGACGCCGGCCTGCCACCCCTTAACTCCTTTCCCTATAAAAGTCCCTGAACAGCTCCCCTGGGGTAGGGGAGGGGGGCGCTAGCTTTACTGTCACTACCGCCTTATACATAAGTCTATTTCCTCTTTTAATAAAGCGTTGCTTCCTTTACTGTTGGGTACATTGTTCATTTCTATGACTTTGGAATCCAAAAGCCTAATTTAATCACTGGCAAAAATTGGAAAGCTTTGGGCACCAGAGAGGACTCCAGCTGCAAGAGGCAAGTGGCCACTGGGACTATTTTGCTCCCCCGTCTCTGCCCCTGGAGTCCCTGGCCTAAATTCTGACAAGGCAGTGCTTTATTCTCTTTACCTTTCTCTGCTTTTTCTGAGCCCTCTTCTGCTGTTTGGTTGGATTGTATCCCCTTCTGTATAGGTGCACCCTGGAGGGCTCCCAGCTATGCTTTGTTTCTGATTTTCTGAGCCCTCTTCTGTTTGGCTGGATTGTATCCCCTTCTGTATAGGTGCACCCTGGAGGGCTCCTGGCTATGCTTTCTCTGGTTTGAATCTAGTTGATACTTTTCTTCTTTATGCTGAAAACAGTGGGGAGAACTGCTTTTATCAGTTACTGTTAATGGAATAGGTTGGCCCCGCCGATTAGGACTAGGCTGAACTGGACCCCACTGCTCCTCTTTTCTCTTTGTTTGTTTGCTTGGTTAGACATTTAGTTGAGTACTGGTAATCTGAATAAACTTTTCAATCCTTGCATCAACTTTTGGACTTTCAGGTCATTTGTTTAATGCGAGAGGGCAAGCCGAGCCTGGCCTGTCGGTAACAGAAGGTTACCAGCTAAAGAACATTATTTCACCAGCCTAATGCCAAAGCACACACCTAGGGTGCAGGTCATTTGGCACAGATCGATATCCAGTTAGGAAGAGAGATGGAGGGGGATCCCTTGCAGCCGATCGCTAGCTAGCTTTGGAAGGCATCCTCGCCCCCTCCCTGCTCACGCTCTCCACACACCCGGATCTCCCCCTTGACCACTCTGTTCTCTTCACACCCCTGCCCCGACAGGTACCGGCACATTTCTGCTGGGGGAAGGTTTGAACCCCTTGGCCTCCAGCTCATGCCCAACACACTTCCCAATGATCTCGCCAGGAGCTGGCCCTGCCCAAACCCCAAGCCTCACTACCAGGAGAAGGTGCTAAAGCTGGCTCTGCTGCCCAGTGCGCCCCTGAGCCAGGACCTCGTGAGGGATTACCAAGCCCTCATAGTGGACCGAGTTGCCTTACCCCTCTGCCATCTCTCCAAGGCACGACTTGGCAAAACCTCAGCAAGGAACAGGAAGAGAAGACCTGGACCCATCTAGAAGAGCCTCCAGACGGCTACGGACCATTGTGGGCACCCCCAGGTTCCAGAGTTTTCAATAAATGCTCCTTCAGCAAGAAGCTCTTGGGGTGGCTCCTGCACCCTCCCAACCTCAAGCCACCTCTATACAGGCTCCTGGAGACTCTACTGAAACTCTAAATTGTTATATGTCTTCCTTGAAGGACTCTCATAGTGGGTGAGAGGACTGGGGTGGGGAGGGTGAGTAGAGCAGGGAGAACAAGGGGGGGTTCCAGTTCCTAGGGACAGAACAAGAGGCAGGGAGGAGGAAGGGGCACATGTGCGTGCGTGCGTGCGTGCGTGTGTGTGTGTGTGTTAGGTGGGGGAAGAGACTCTCAAAAATGTAATAATAAGAAGTTAACTCCACTCTCATAACTCATTTGGAATAAGACTGGGATTGGTCAGGATACAGGAAGCCTCTTAGGCAAAAAACAACCTCAATCCCACCCCCTCTCTGGATCATTTGATGTCTGGACAAATAGCAGACACAACTCTGCCTGGTTGCAGGTCCCCATGCACGGTTTGGGGGAGCAGAGGTCAGGTCAAGGCTGGCGTTTGGAGGATGAGAGAGTCGGGCCGGAGGAAAGCTGACCAGGCCACCGTAGGAGTAGATTCCAAGTAAAAGCCAGAGTGGTCAGCCCAGAGCCTACCTTAGGGCCTTGGGCCTGTGCTGCAGGTGACTCCAGACACCTCAGCTTTTGCTGTGGGAAAGTCAGAGACGAGGCCTAAAGTGGAGGCAGGCAGAGTGCAATGGTCAGGAAGGTGCTGGCCCTGGTGGGGTGGAGATAAGGGAAGGCCACGGGGAGGTGGCCAGAGGGGGAAGTTGCATGGTGGGGGCCCCACCTCACCTCCTCCTGCCCCCGATCACATTCCCAAGTTGGTGGTCTGCCCCAGCTGGGCTTCCTTGGCCCCTTGCTCACTGCCCTCTTTGTCTCCTGGGAATCAAGACACCACAGGATTCTAGCACTGGTTTAGCCACTAACTAGTCATGTGACCTTTAGGATTTTTTTTTTTTTTTTTTTTTTTTTTTTGGTGATTGGCCAGTATATTTGACCTTGGTGCTACAAGGCTACACTGTAACCAACTGAGCCAACCAACCCCGTGTGACCTTTAGAAAGTCACTGTTGCCCTCTGGCTTTCAGGTTCCTCATCTGCACAATGGGCGCCATTACCTTATAAATAAGTGGAATAAATAAAATAATTACAGTGGAACGCCTGCAAAGTGTCTGGCACATTATAGGTGCTCCATAAATTAAGCTATCAATCATTGTTTATGGAATTAAAAACATAGATGGAATACTATATGTCCATAAAAAGGAATGGGGTATCGATAGATGCTACGACATGCATGAAACTTCAAAACATCATGCCAAGTGGAAGAAGACATACCCAAAGTATGATTCCACTACAGGAGGTACCTAGACTAGGCAAATTCATAGAGACAGAAAGCAGAACAGAAGCTACCGGGGGCTGGGAAGAGGGGCTGGGAGCTATTGTTGGGGATGACGATGCAGTAGTTCTGGAAGTAGACGGTGGTGATGAGGGTGCGACACTGGGAATGTGCTTAATGCCACTGATTAGCACACTTACAAGTGGCAAAAATCGCAAACTTTATGATAATACATTTTACCACAATAAAAATGTTTGAAAAAAATAGAGTACTGAATCATACTATAGCATGGATGAACCTCGAAAACATTACGCGAAAGAAACCAGATACAAAAGGCCACATATTGTGCGACTGCGTTTATGTGAAATACCTAGAATAGGCAAATCCGCAGAGCTAGAAGGTAAATTGGTGGTTACCAGGTTCTGGAGGAGGGGGGAATTGAAACTATTTTGGGGGCCGGCTGGTTAGCTCAATTGGTTACAGCGCGGTGCTGATAACACTAAGGTCCAGGGTTCTATCTCTGTACTGGCCAGCTGCCAAAAATAATCTTTTTTTTTTTTTTCCTTTTTGTCTTTTTTCGTGACCGGCAACGGGATCGCAACCCATGGTGTCACGCCCACACCACGCTCAACCAGTGAGCAGACCGGTCTCTATATGGGATCCGAACCCTCGGCGGTAGCGCCGCCGCACTCCCAAGCGCCGCACTCTACCGAGTGCGCCACCGGGCCGGCCCAAAAATAATCTTAAAAATAAAAAAAAAAACTTTTAGGGGGCCGCCCGTGGCTCACTTGGGAGAGTGCGGTGCTGATAACACCAAGGCCACGGGTTTGGATCCCATATAGGGATGGCCGGTTCGCTCACTGGCTGAGCGTGGTGCTGACAACACCAAGACAAGGGTTAAGATCCCCTTACCGGTCATCTTTAAAAAGAATAAATAAATAAATAAACTTTTAAAGAAAATATTTTGGAACTATTTAGAGGTGGTGGTTGTACAACATTATGATTGAACTAAATGCCGCTGAATTGTATGCTTTTTTTTTTTTTTTTGGCTTTTTTCGTGTCCAGCAACGGATCGCAACCCTCAGTGTCGCGCCCGTACCGGACCGGGACCGGCAACGGGATCGCAAGCCTCGGTGTTGCGCCCGCGCCTCGCTCAGCCAGTGAGCGGGAACCGGTCCGTATGTGGGATCCGAACCCTCGACGGGAGCGCCGCTGCGCTCCCAAGCGGCGCACAGTAGCAGTACGCCACCGGGCCGGCCCTATTGTATGCTTTAAAATGGTAAATCTTATGTGAATTTCATCTAAATGAATTACAGTGCCTGGGACTTGTGTGGGGCGTCTGCCACGTTCCTTCCAGCTCCAAGTCTGCAATGCTGTTACACAGCCTTCTCCACGCTGCCTTTGCCCGTGGGGGAGGGGCGGGACCAAGGAGTGAAGGAAAATTTCCTGAGTACTCCAAGGCACTCCCAGGGCTCTGGGAATCGACACATTCTCCCCACTGGATTAGGACTGATGGTGGAAAGGAGGGCTCCTTCACACAGGACCCAGAAGTGTCAGAGCTGGGCAGGCCACTAGAAAACAAGTCTAACACCCTCGGTTTATATATTTATGGGCAAACCAGAGCTCCTTTGTGACCATAAAGCCAGGCAGTCCCTCCCCTCCTGGAGGGAGGACAGGAGCCCCCTACACGGGGCCTTTGTTGTCATCTTGCTTCTCAGGCAACTTGCCACCTCCACGATGAGAGGCCCTGGAGATACTCAGAGGGTTCACATGAAGATCTGGGGGATGGGAGGCGGGAGGCCACTGGGATTCTTGAGAGCAGGCTGCCTCCTCTCGGGTCTCAAGCCAGGGGAGAGCGGAGAGAGAGGGCTGAGCTTACCCGGACTCCTGCCTGGCAGACACAGACCACCCCAGAGGCTCCTCGCCTCAAGTCAGGGCCCCCCACCCCCTGCGCACTCTGCCCTCTGGAGCAGTTCTTCCCTGCTAGAAGAGGGACTAGAGCATTACTGGGGCCCTCTTGCCAACAGGCCAGCCAGAGATGCAGAAGAGAGAATCCCAAAGTTCCTGAGTGCCACAGGCCATGGAGGGGACAATAGCAACCATATGTCCTCCTGGGCCTGGGGACTCTAATATGGCAATCCCCAGCTCAGCCTGCCATCCAACTGGCTGGTACCATGAATACCCCCCCAACCTACACGCCATAAACTAGTGAATATGGAGTCCTTGAAAGCATTTGGGGCTGGGGGTATCCCCATAACCTGGGCCTACCTTGAAGATCTGTTCTTTCACTATAATTGGAGTGTAGATTGAGACAAAGCAGGAATGGAGGGGTGGATGGCCCTGCCCCCCGCAGACCCAGCACACCACCCCCAGAGCACCTGTGCCTGCTGAATGCCTCCAGCTTCACAGACAGTAGTCAACCCCAGCACAGGAAGCCATCAGAGCCCTTCTGGGCCGACACCTCCCCTCCCACCCCGACCGCTCCCCCAGCCCAGTGGTGGTCTCACGAGCCAGGTTGCTGAGGTGAGATCAGGTCCCCCAGTTGCTGGGGGCCTGAGGAACAGCTGGGGCCAGTGAGTACTGGAAGCTGTGAGGACTGGGAACCCCGGGAAGATCACGTGGGGCTGGCCAGGTTGCCAGCTGTGATCTTTCACCTGACTGCCGCCAGGGCTGTCCCATCTCATTGTCACACTGCAGAAGCCCCACAGCTGCTCCCTCAGCTGACAAATCAGAACAAGGTCCTCTCTGTGGGCTGCCTCCCACTCGACTCCTACCTCCCAGGATCCTCTGGCCAATGGTTTCTACCCATCGTGGACCCACCTGTGCCAAGCCCTCTGTCTTGGTGCCCCTTGTCCCCACTAAGCCCTCTCCTTACTTATGCAGACCACTGAGCCACCTGCATGTACTCTTGTCATCAAACAAGGTAAACGGTTGCTGCTGCCCACTTACCATCGTATTTGGTGGTTTCTGTGGCTATTAGAGTAGCCCACCCTTCGTTAGTCCTGAGCCAACGCCTTCTCTGCAGGCCCAGGACAGAGCCTCACAAATGCATACGTGCTTGTAGGTCATGTGGCTGCATCTTGCCCATTGTTCAAATTCCAAGGAGTTTTGATGTGTGGCCCCTTTAGGCCACTACGTTTCTCATTGGATGTTCATCCAACACTGACACTAGGTATCGTGATGTGGTTTCTAGACAAGTCAGTGACTTCTATACCCCGACGATCACTAGAAAGGGGAGGTCATGTCTAAGGGGGCCGAGAACAGGCCCAAAGCTTAGGCAAGGAGGAAGGAGGAAATGGAGGGGAATGGAAGCAGGAAAGAAAAAGGACAGAAGAGGGAGGGGGAGGAGTACTGGAGCCAGAGGAGAGACAAAGCTGGAGACTTTGCTGGAGCCCAGAGGTCCAGAATGTTTGGAAGGAGTTGGGCCATTCCACCTGATATTTTGAGGGCACTTGCAGGATCAAGATTGGGGCACACCACCCAAGGGACGAGAGAGACTGGTAAATAAGTCATGTGGGAGCAAGGGAAAGGGGAAGAGAAGGCAGGGGCGGGAGCGACTGCCTGTGGCACCTGCTGCACTCTGCTGAAGTAGC